CTTGCTGCAAAAACAAGTTAGACGTCCTCTAATTGTTGTTGCAAGTTTTACGTGGCTGCAAAAGGGTTCTAGCAAGAACGTTTTCTTACCTACGTAATAGCCACAATGTGATTTGTCAACTTCTATTTACCCTTCATAAGGACCCTTTTCATGAATCCGCTCCAACTAAAGTGGGAGACACAGACACCCGCTAGCCACCTTATGCAACTAGTGCATGTCAGTCGGTGGAAGTGGTCTCACGTAAGCGTACGTGTAAGGTTGGTCCGGGCTGCTTCATCCCACAATACCGCTAAAGCAAAATAAGACTAGTAGCGGCAAGAAAGTTGACAACATCTACGCCCACAACAAATTGTTTTCTACTCGTGCAAAGAGAACTACGCATAGACCTAGCTCATGATGCCACTGTTGGGTAACGTTGCAGAAAACAAAAAATTTCCTACGGTTTTACCAAGATCCATCTATGAGTTCATCTAGCAACGAGTGATCGGATTGCATCTACATACCTTTGTAGATCACGCACAGAAGCGTTCAAAGAACGGGGATGAGGAAGTCGTACTCGACGTGATCCAAATCATCGGAGATCCTAGCGCTGAACGGACGGCACCTCCGCGTTCAACGCACGTACGGTCAGCGTGACGTCTCCTCCTTCTTGATCCAGCAAGGGGGAAGGAGAGGTTGAGGAAGATGGCTCCAGCAGAAGCACGACAGCGTGGTGGTGGTGGAGCAGCAGTACTCCGGCAGGGCTTCGCCAAGCTCGTGACGGAGGAGGAGATGTGTTGGGGAGGGGAGGGGCTGCGCCTTGGATGTCCTCTGCAGCCCTGCCCTCACCCCTCTATTTATAGGCGAAGGGGGAAGGGGGCCAGCCCCCTCTAGATGAGATCTAGAGGGGGGGCGGCGGCCAAGGGGAGGGGGGCTTGCCCCCCAAGCAAGGGGGCGCCCCCCTTAGGGTTTCCCCCAACCCTAGGCGCATGGGCCCTAGGGGGAGTGGCGCCCTAGCCCACTTTGAGCTGGATCCCTTCCTCATACAGCCCATAAGGCCCTCCGGGAGAGGTGGCCCCTCCCGGTGGACCCCCAGAACCCCTCCGGTGGCCCCGGTACAATACCGATATGCCCCCGAACCTTTCCGGTGACCGTATGACAACTTCCCATATATAATTCTTTACCTCCGGATTATTCCGGAACTCCTCGTGATGTCCAGGATCTCATCCGGGACTCCGAACAACTTTCGGATTACTGCATACTCATATCTATACAACCCTAGCGTCACCGAACCTTAAGTGTGTAGACCCTACGGGTTCGGGAGACAAGCAGACATGACCGAGACGACTCTCTGGTCAATAACCAACAGCGGGATCTGGATACCCATGTTGGCTCCCACATGCTCCTCGATGATCTCATCGGATGAACCACGATGTCGAGGACCTAATCAATCCCGTACTCAATTCCCTTTGTCAATCGGTACGTTACTTGCCCGAGACTCGATCGTCGGTATCCCAATACCTTGTTCAGTCTCGTTACCGGCAAGTCACTTTACTCGTTACCGAGCTCATTATGATGATGCATTACCGAGTGGGCCCAGAGATACCTCTCCGTCATACGGAGTGACAAATCCCAGTCTCGATTCGTGCCAACCCAACAGACACTTTCGGAGATACCTGTAATGTACCTTTATAGTCACCCAGTTACGTTGTGACATTTGGCACACCCACGGCACTCCTACGGTATCCAGGAGTTGCACAATCTCATGGTCTAAGGAAATGATACTTCACATCCAGAAAAGCTACAGCAAACGAACTACACGATCTTTGTGCTATGCTTAGGTTTGGGTCTTGTCCATCACATCATTCTCCTAATGATGTGATCCCGTTATCAATGACATCCCCATGTCCATAGCCAGGAAACCATGACTATCTGTTGATCAACGAGCTAGTCAACTAGAGGCTCACTAGGGACACATTATGGTCTATGTATTCACACATGTATTACGATTTCCGGACAATACAATTATAGCTTGAATAATAGACAATTATCATGAAGAAGGAAACATAATAATCATTTTATTATTGCCTCTAGGGCATATTTCCAACAAAAACACCTCTTTCTCGATTGTCCGCTTGCCAAACTTCTTTGGCATACTTTGCACATAGCCTTCTATATTAACCCTCCACTTAGTATGAACACGTTATTTGGGACGTGGCTAAATGGAGTGGAAGCAAACATAGCGAGTCATATTTGGATAGGGATATGTGCACTATTTTGGGCTATATGAAACTGCAGAAATGATATAATCTTTAACAGGAAAAACTTTTCCAACTTTTTGCAGGTTATCTATAGTGTGGATCATGCGGACTCCAATGAGCTTTTGGTTACTGAGACGACAGCATGGGTTATCTTTTATCGATTTGGATGACAAGCAATTAATGGGCTAGGTGTTTAGTCATTGTAGCCTATTGTTTTTTCGCCGGATGTGGCATCATTTTTATCTTTTCGTTGGGCTCTGTTTGTGAGCTGATGTTAGAACTTATACGTTGTTGGATGTACTTATGCTTAATAAAATAGTTGCATGCATCACTCTAGTGCAGAGGTTGGGGCTTATCCTTCTTTACAAACAAATAAAATATAAATGTTAGTTTTATTCATCAAGCAAGAACAAAACCTATTTCGACGGAAGAGTTGACAGGAAAACAAAGGCATGCAAGTGGAGAAAGACAACCGCGGACCGCCATGTTGCTTGCTTCACGGCGTGTAGGTAGCATGCAGCGTAAGAAAGGCCGGCGATACCTGCAGCTAAGAGCATCTATAGCCGAACGTCCTAAACCCGTCTTATACGTTTAAGTGGGCCGTCTGGTAACTGACCGGTCACATTTTTATGATTCAAACGGGTCTTAAATGTCTGGGCTGACTAGCACTCTTCATACTTAGTCTAAATATAGGGCGGATATGGGGCGCCCGGACGCTTTCGGACATGCCTGCCACGTAGGACTGACGAAGGGGTCCCATGCGGACTCGCCCGAAAACCTGACAGTCCGACGGACGCCTCCTCAGTGTGAACATTGCGTGGCGCCGCTCCGGCTCGCCGTCCGAGAGCAAATCCGCCTATTTAACCCGACCGGAGTCCCGCAGCCCTAGTCCATGCACCTCCCCCTCTCCGCACAACCAGTCTGAGCCCATCCACCTCCTCCATCTCCCGCTCCGGCACTCTGCCCATGCTCCGGCACTCCGCCATGGTTCGGAGTAAGATCACCTACTACGCAATGCTCACGCCGGAGCACCGCACCGAGATCCAGCAGGAGAACCAGGCGAGACAAGTCGCCCACATCGCTGCCGGGCTGCCTCCGGACTCGCTGGAGCTGGAAGAGGAGGAGCTGGCACCCATGGAGGTGGAGGAGCCGGAGCAGCTACTGCTGGGTTTCAACATGGAGCAGGCGAAGGCGGAGTTCGCCGTTGCCCAGTCTGACAAGATGGCGGAGCAGCAAGCCATCTTGGAGCCCATCTAGGATGAGGCCTATGTGGATGCCAACCGGGCGTTCCTTCGGTGGGAGCAGGCGGAGTCTGCCGGAGCGGAGCAGCCGGAAGCGTCGGAGGAGTCAGAGTTGCAGTTGCCGCCAATTCTGCCGGAGCCGCGCACGGAGATCGTCGACATCTCTGAGGACAAGTAGCTAGGTGATCGATGTAGTACGTAGGTTATTTTGTTTGCATGTCTTTGTATTAATTTAAAATTTTAGTATAAAATATCCGGATATAACAAATAAAATTTTAGACGTGCCCAGTCACTATCCACACACACACGCGGGCGTGTAGATGTTTAAGGGGCCATATTTAACACATCCGACCGTAGATACTCTAACTAAGTAGCGGAATATGCACATGCAAGAAATAAGCAGTGACCAAGCTGGATACGAGACCGACACAGCGTACGGTGTGTCTGTCTGCATGGATTGAATGCTACGGCCGGTTGTTGGTGTGACAGCGTACCCATCATATAATACGTGACTGACACGTACATACGTCTGCATGAATATACACGCGCGTGGTAGTCTCTTTTGCATGGTAAAACATGTCTCATCCATATCTAAAGATCAAAATACAAGTTAAGTAAGGATCGACATGACAAAATTAAAAAGATAACAAAACATTTCTATGTTTGATGCCAACACTCCTCATCTTCCTTCGGCATTGCTACAACAGCCATTGAAGAAAAGAACGACGATCATCTCCTCGCCGGAGCGCGCGTGTGGTACCAACCATAGTTATTTAGTTATAGTGTAGCGTACGTTTTGCAATACTACACTGTATGAGAGGAGGCATAGTGAGGAGCGCTCGTGACCCCCCGGGCCGGGCCGGTGCCGCGAGTCCCTCCACCCGCATGTGAACCCAATCGGCCGGCAGTCACGCTCATGCTCATGCATCCACCACCACCACCATCTGCATGCAATTCCGCAGCCAATCCACCCATAACCCATCCATCTCCGCGGGCGCGCTTCACTTGCCGCCCCACCCGGCTATAAATACGGCCCGTGCCCAGCGCCGACCGGCAGAACAGAGCATCCAATTCAATCATCTCCTACTGGAGTAACTTGCTAGCGATGGCCTCCTCCTCCTCCTCTGTCGCCGTCGCGGCGGCCCTGCTGCTCTGCATCCTCGCCGCGCACGGCCACGGCTGCTGCGCCAAGCGCAGCAGCAACAGCGGCGGTAAGAAGTCCCACTCCCACCACGCGCCCCCGCACGCCCACGGGGCGCCGCCTCCTTCTTCCCCGCCGGCCATCGGTCCACCGTCCTACGGCTACGGATCCCCTCCTCCCCCGGCTGCCATCCCGCCTCCTCCTGCGGCCACCCCGTCCCCTCCCGCGGCCAATTCCAGCTCCAACAGCACCAATGTCGACGCCGGCGGCTGGCTCGACGCCAGGGCCACCTGGTACGGCGCGCCCAAGGGCGCCGGGCCCGACGACAACGGCGGCGCCTGCGGGTTCAAGAACGTCAACCTGCCGCCCTTCTCCGCCATGACCTCCTGCGGCAACGAGCCGCTCTTCAAGGACGGCAAGGGATGCGGCTCATGCTACCAGGTTGGAACGAAATTCTCTCTTTGGAATTACATCCATTTACTACTAGCCACACGTTACTAATTAGTAATACATTTCAATTGTACTGCAGATACGGTGCGTGTCGGCGGGCCACCCGGCGTGCTCGGGCGTGCCGGAGACGGTGATCATCACGGACATGAACTACTACCCGGTGTCCCGCTTCCACTTCGACCTCAGCGGCACCGCCTTCGGCGCCATGGCCAAGGACGGCCGCAACGACGAGCTCCGCCACGCCGGCATCATCGACATGCAGTTCAGGAGGTACATTGCGAGTCGCCATCATCTTATCTTATCTCGACGGCTTAACCTCCACTACCGACCATCCACGACCGGTGCCGCTCGTGTCCACCGTCCGTTGCTTTCCTTTCCTTTCCCAACCGCCGGCCCGGCCGCTTCTGTACAAAAGCAAACGGAAGGTGGTAGCTAGCTAGATGGGGCAAGGTAACCGCCAACACGCCCATTTTTTGCCTTGTCGTCACCGCCAACTTTTTAACAACGACGACAAGGATATGCATGCATGGGACCCGGAAAGATTCTAACCAGCACGACGTGTCATTGTCCTCCTCGAATGATAGGAAACAACAAGCCGTGGCATCAGCGTCGGCATTTATGCGGGGTAGCTTTTGGTGTTCTTGGTCGCTAGCTAGTATCACGGTACATCGATCTCGTGACACTAAATAACATAGCACTGCATCGCCACACATAGGAGATCGCATGAATCGAGCTAGATTGTGTTTGTGAATGACACCCACTGACACGGTCGAGCGACATTGCTGTATGTGCAGGGTGCCGTGCCAGTACCCGGGGCTGACGGTGACGTTCCACGTACAGCACGGGTCGAACCCGTACTACCTGGCGATCCTGGTGGAGTACGAGAACGGAGACGGCGACGTGGACCAGGTGGACATCATGCAGTCGCGGCCGGACGTCGCCGGAGAAGGCGGGATGGCGCCGACGGGGGAGTGGGTGCCGATGACCGAGTCGTGGGGGTCCATCTGGCGGATGGACACGCGGCGCCCCATGCAGGGCCCCTTCTCGCTGCGCATCACCAACGAGTCCGGCAAGACGCTCGTCGCCGACCAGGTCATCCCCGCCGACTGGGAGCCCAACGAGATCTACAGCTCCATCATCCAGTTCGACTAGCC